AAATTGATTCCAGTACAAATGTTAATAATGTTTGAGCAAATCATGTAAATTTTAAGATTTATACTGGCAACACAAAGTTAACTGTCATAATGAATTCCGCCCACTACTCTATCTCAATGCATAATATTTACACATACTATCTACACACACAAACACTGATTGTTTTAAACATAAATTATATACTATTCACACAACAATTAACTACAATATCAGTTATTTACAGCAAATACAACTTGACTCTGTTCCATGTCGCGTCGCAATAATTGTCACATTCTTTATAAAAACACTGACCATTACAAATGGATAGCTTTTGCTTCGTCCAGACTCTAACGACCTGTTGGTGTTAATAACATGTCTATTATTATTTCAAATGGCAACTAATGACGCCAACGGCGACCGTAAGCGCCAAAATGGTTAAAATTAAATAGGCACAAAATACACCATATAGCCTGTCCATTTATAGAGGTCAGTGATGAAATATTTTATTTGTTTATAGTTTATTCCAACAAATGACGTAGAAAATATTTGATTTTACTCTATTAGGCTATTTTAAACAAATCTTTTGCAATTATGTTAAAATTGCGATATAATTTGAGTTTTTGTAAAATAGGATAGGTTACAACGCAATGTAAACTGAAATAGGCTCTCAAATTAAGGATTTACGAAGTGTAACGTACTATTAATTGGAACAAAACTTAGATATTAAGTTGGAATTAACTATAAACTTGGTATTGATAGAGAAAATCATAATTTTTGATAGTTGAGACAATTTATAGATAAGTTATACTTACTATGATCAAAACTAGATAGGATTTGTATGTTCATTGGTCTATTATAATGATTTTCGTGGATATGTTATGTTTGTTGTATGACTGAAGTGTCATTCGATTTGTACCTGGGGAAGTCCAAAGTGTTGCCACTTTCGTGTCACATAGACTCGAAATAGGTAACTTTTACGTTAGTGTTTACAGTTTTCAACATTTTGACAATGTTCACAGTTCACTATACTATATATACCTCTATTCCGCTAACTGTATATATCTTTTTAAAAATCAAAATAAACAGCAGTAGCAAAACTCTAAACGATTCAAAAACATTCTAATTTAAGATTGTGTTTCTCTATTTTTAAATGTTCCTCGTAAACGCAATGTTACAAAAATAATAAAGTCAAATCCGTAATCGTGCTTAACTAAGTGCTAAGTATGTACACTCTCCCCCTCGCACCGCCCCCGCCCCCGCCCCCGCCGCCGCGACATTAGCGTCCACTGGCACACGTCACTTGTCACTGCGTCATTGCGTCACTCGCGGCACACGTGTCTGTCAGGTCGGTCGCGACCGGCGCCGCTTTACCAGTGACAATGTTCTCACAGGATCTGATAAACCTTAAATCGGTTTGAATCAACTAAAGACATAACTCCTCCAGCTTAACCCATTCAATTCATAATGGACAAACCAAAGACGGTCTTCTATTTTTATATTTCTAATATCTGTACCAATCTATGAAATAAAAATTGCACTAAATTTGTTGTAAGATTCAAACCGCGGCTTCGGATCTAATCGAAGTACATTTCCTCCTTGAACATTGTCTCGTGGTAAAGCTGTGGGAACTTCTACCAGGCGCGGCCCTGCAGCGGGAGGTAGCCGGAGCACTGCTGCTGGTAGGCGGTGGGCTGGCGGTAGGCCAGCGGGTTGCTGCAGGCGGCCTGCGCCGGCGCCGCCGAATACCCGGAGGTCGGGGTCGCACAGTGGCTGTGCGCCGGCGACGAGGACTCCCCGGAGCCGCACGGCTTGCCGTCCTTCACCAGCACCGGCACCGCCACCCGCCGCGGTGACGATGATGACTAAACAATACAATTACACATTTTCTAATAGTATAGGGTGAAAAATGAAGAAGCGTCTACTGGAATCTGCCAAAATAAGAAAGCGACCGCTGGCTATAGACATCCAGATTTGTAAGTCTTTTAATCCACATAAGGGGAAAGCACAGAAAGAGGATATTTCCCCTACCTGAGTATACCGACTCCCGCTAAATTCTCTTCTCCTTCCCATCCTTTTTTTGTACGATATAAGTCCTAAAATGAGGCTTACGACAAGAGACGAAACGCGGAATCGCTGCCACTTCACACTTCTCTTCTGTGTGATCGTGGTATTACACCGAAAAAGAAATGTACCGGACATTTGTGCAAAGATGTTAAAGCAGACTCTACCAGACCTGAATATTCAAATATGCCTCGATAGAGATTTTTTTTACAAAAACACAATTCTATATTTTGAGTTCTTATAATTCAAGACTAATGTGTCGTAGGCCTATTTAATTGTCTTCCTTTACATTGCCTATATTTGCGAACCTTAGTTATATCAGCAAATATTGTATTTATTTTTGGAATCATGTATATGTACCACATAACAATAAAGATTACAATAGATAAAGAGAAATTCGTGTTTTTATTTACTCCTGTCATTAAAATGTAACTGAAACTCTTCCGAGTAAGAATATTACAGATAATTTAATTATAAGTAAGTAATAATTCGAAAACTGTTTTAATTAGAATTGCTCGATCAATAAAGTAGAGTCGAGTTGCGCCGCTGCCGGCTGCCGGCTGCCGGCGGAGAAAGTTCCCGCCAACATTCTGGCGCCGGCTCCGATTTTGCACAAATTGAGCCAATTCTCTACTTCTGGCGACACTCGCCTTTTCACGTTATTATTAATGTCTGCTTTAATTGACTGTTGTACCGTGTTCCTACAATTGTATTATTTAATCATACTAATATTATAAATGCGAAAGTTTAGATGGATGGATGTTTGTAAGAGTTTGTGGATTAAACGGCTGAACGAATTTCGATGAAATTTGCCATAGACGTAGAGGATAGTCTGGAAGAACACATAGCATACTCAGTTTTGTTTTTTAATTCGTTCAATCAATTCATAAATTTAAATTAAACGAAGTCGCAAAGGACAGCAAGTAGCACCATAATTTTATCTCAATTGTTTTATCGTTAGGAGGTTTTTTTATAAGAAAAAGGGGGGCAAACGAGCGGCGGGAACACAGGTGGTCAACGACGCCCATGATATCCGCAATAACATGTTACGTTTAGCATATAAAGATTGGTTCTTTTTGCAACTAATGCATGAGATTCTCTGCTCAAAAATTAATTTGAAATATGTATTTCTTATGATACAGGCAACTTGGAATTGCGTGCAGTCGTTAACAAAATAATCATAATAATTGTGGGGTTGCCAGATTCGTCGCGTTCTCCGGCAGCCGGGAGATCGCTATCGAGTGGGCAAAGTCTCCGGCAAACAAGGGGCCCGCTGCGCAGTCAGCATATGATTTTATCGCACATTTAATATTCATTATTCATTTACCGATATTGAAATTTAAAAAGATTTAAGGAACAAATGGCCGACGTGAAATAAAGCCGCTGTTTGATTTAATCATTTTTCAATCTGTGGGAAATTAAAATAGGTACACATTTGCGGATATTTAGCAAATTATGCTTAGTATGAATATATTTATTTATTGCTAACTGTGGCTCGTAACTTCGTCCGCGTGCAATTATGTTACTCACAAATAAAAGACCTTTCTAATGGTCATAGAGTTTTTAAATTCGACCCAGTAGTTTTTGAGTTATTTCAATATATACAAAAATCCAAACATACAAAATTTCCTCATTATAACATCAGTATCAGTAGTAATATAACCAAATTAAAGCTCTAGTTATGTTTTTTAATAAGAAGTTGCGATAATTTGTATCTAAATAAATACCTGATTGTGTTGATTTTGTTCCGCCATCGCTTTCTCTTTGGCCTGTCGTTTGCACTTGTAGCGATGGTTCTGGAACCAAATTTTAACCTGAAACAAATGACTTTCTTTTATTTTTGTAATAATATAACAGTAATCGTGGTTTTCTTTGTTTAAGTATTGTACTTATTATTTTTAATATGTTGATGGGAAACCCATTAACTAAGGCCTAGTCACCCTAACTTAGGTTAAGATCCGAGCCACTCTGTGGGGACGTATAGTGGTGACGATATAGCTGGTAATGATTGAAAACCTATTTGAAAGTGTGTTTAGTTGCATATTTTAAAGTTTAAAGTTTACCAACATGATGCTCGTAGGTAACCTTATAATTTGTTCGCGATACAAAAGTCAACATCCTGGGCGACTGCGCGACTGAGCGCCTGACCTGCCTGAAATTAGCGCTCGAGCACGCTGCAGCGCAGTCAACACTCCACCTTAATGACGAAAGAATAAACAGAACGCGATGTTTGCCCCACGGAGCGGCCGGCCTTTGTCTACGAACGCTCTAAACGCAGCAAAATATACTCTTTATTTATTATTTATACATCGAGAGAGTTTCCTCCGTGTTTATTCTTTGAAATGGATGTGTTCCCCTCCGCCCGGAGCTCGAGCCGTGCCGCGGCGTTCCGTTATGAAAACTCCCGCGTAAATATCCGCCATCTTGATACACGGCGATACGTTACAGTATAAATTGCAGCCATTTTGTATTCGGTTATTGAGATCGGTTGCGACATCGAGCGAGCCGTGATGCATAGATTGCGTGGCAACCTTTCCCAATCTTTACACAATAGCGATGGACACAGTCCACACTTATCTGGAATATTGTTACATCTTACAAAACTCTTTCTACCTTTATTTACACCTACATAAATAAGTTATGTAACTACAAGAGCTAAAAAAATAGTTTAATATAGTTACAGTATGTTGCAGCGAATGCATCGATTAGGTACTTTTATATATGAATCTTTCGCTTGCAAAGTGATAGAGGAATAGTTGGCAGTTCGTTTTATCCGCGCGCCGGCCGCTCGGTTATTTATGGCCTACAAGGTGCCGGCGAGAGGTAATGAGCGGGCGACGGCTGCGAGGCGGCGGCGGGCGTCGCTCATTGCTCTCACGGGCCTCGGACGCTCTCCTCTCGAGTACTTTCTTTTCAATCTTCTTGTGCATAATGTTTCGTGTTTCCACACGCACTCAACACACGAGTGTCTCATCAACTTATTTGTTTTACTTCTAAATGATTGTTGTTTCTCGTCGTCGAGTGATACGACATTTCGGGTGCGTCTTTAAGGGCCTTTACTGTACGTGTTCGAAACTTTACACCCACTTAACTGCCGTTTTGTTATTCTATCGCCATCAACAATTTAAACAGAACTAATCATTTTGAGTTCTTAAAATTTAAAATAGGGTATAGTATAGGTCTCCGAAAGAATAAATTACAAAAAATTTGGGTAAAAATACAATGATGACCACCCAGACATATGTCAACAAATGTCAATTTGGCGCCAACCCTATGGAAATATCTTTATTAAAATTATACCACCTCTCCGCATTTTTTTTGTGATTCAGTCTAACAAATACAGTTCAAAATGGCTACGTTTTTCTGATTATGTACGCGATTGACAGGTACGAGATCGTACGTAGGTGTTCCTTTTCTGAGAATAATGACTTGCGATATTTTAGGTTAGGGTCACCACTCACCACTAAATAATCTTTTGTGTAATTAAGTGGTTTCGATGTATTCGCCGTATTTAACAAGTTTAGGTTGCAAGTTATGATAAACTGATATTTTTTTTACTATGTCGATACTGGAGAATGTTTATAACCTTAAAAACGCAAAAACCATTGAGTTACTAGTTTGAAAATCTGGTTTATCCAAAGGCATGCAATGCTGTAGCTCCATTAACTTGGTTAACTGTTTTTCGATTTATGTTTATGTTTGTCTTATTTTATAATTTTATGTTGCACTTAAGTAATGGTCACCCTTAACCGTCAATTAATATAAATAAATGTTGCCCTCGTATTTGTTTAGCTCTTGGCTGCACGACTTTTTCCCGACGGCGCACGACGCGGACGGTGAGTTAACATTTTCATTCTGTTTTGATCCCTCTCTGACGTGTTGATTTGTCCATTTAAAACAATGTTATTTATTTTTAACAATATACTGCTTTTGTTACATTCGATATCTTAGTAATTTAAGTATGGTATTGTGATTATACCACAGATAATGATAGAAATAGATACAGACATGAACCATAGACTATACCATTTGCAAAGACGGCAACGAGCAACTTTTCAGCAATCTCTTTAGTCTGGCAATCATCATCTTCCGCCTTATCCTACTCCCGTAGGGTCAGCGCAAAAGGTTTTTGTCGTCCACAAAACTCTATCATACGTCATCTCAGTCATAGCTCCCTTCTTGTTCATGTCACCATTCACGCAATACATACATCTCTTTCTACCCCTAACTCTATAGTCTCATTTTAAAAGTCAATGGCACTGATGGCTGTGGTGAGGATTATGAGATTAACTAGCTATCGCCTGCGATTCCGTCCGCGTGGAGTTCAAAAAAATAAAAGTTAGTAGTAGCCTATGTGTTCTTCCGGACTATCCTCTACGTGTATGCCAAGTTTCATCGAGATCCGTTCAGCCATTTAGGCTACAAACTCTAACAAACATCCACCTATCCATCCATCCATCTATCTATTCATCTAAGCTTTCGCATTTATAATATTAGTACGATAGTAAGATTATTAGAGCGCGCACACACCTTTTACTAAACTATCGCACAATGGTTTAGTAGCGCTTTGGTCCTATGAACTTATATGGAAGTGCACACACTACTCGATTTTTAATTGTGCAACTAAACAGTTGAATTGGCTGCGAAACAATCGACAATCGCACAAGAGCGCGATAGTTTACTTAAAGGTGTGCCTCCCCTCTTAAAGTTAGGTAAGTACCTATACTTTTTTAAAAATGAACAAGTTACGATAATGACCCTATTAAAACTCTGCTTCCGTATAAAAGTTATTTTAAATCGTCATGATTTATGTACACTAATCCGCACCTGTAATAACAACGATGTGACAGCAACAAAAAAAATCAATTTACCAAGTATTTGTCGCATTCACTCACGTACAGTTATCTATGCAATCTTTCGTTATCATGTATTATTAACCGCGTAAAGTACAAAATCGCTTGGCTAACGTAAAAGCGTATTTTTTGCTTTAACTGTTCAATATTTTCATAAGTAACAAAATAAATGAAGCATTGATGCTCTATCGGGGAGACGCGCGTGTTTACTCTGTGACCGCGGCGGCCATTGTCGTGACGTCACAGACAAATCTGACAGCCACGTTATAAAATGTTTAATGTCCTATTCAATTTGTATAAAAAATCTACTAATGTAAATAGCAAGTTTTCGGACAATCATATTTTAAACTAGCTGTTGTTCGTGACTTCGCCTGTGTAATTAAAAAATAACAAACATAGTCTGTGTTATTCGCGGATAAATTACCTTTCTAACGGTGTAAGAATTTTTAAAATCGGCCCAATAGTTTATGAGTATTATAATATTAGTATAGATATCTACTTCAAATTAAATAAATTTTGCCGTAAAGGTTCCTATATTTGCAATCAGGCAATTAATTTTACTAATTTCTGACAGTTTTAAGCTACTAAAAACAGGTGGCAGAACCTTCACGTAGAAAGGTGATTCCAATTTTACTTATCAACTAAGAGCGAGCGTACACCTTTGACTAAAATATCGCATAACAGTTATGCGATTGTCGATTGTTTCGTAGCTGTTTAGATGCACAACTAAAAATCGAGTAGTGTGCGCACCTCCATGCGCTCGCTCTTAATATAATCTTGTTCAAGGAAAGATTAAATTTATGCCCAATGGGAATCAATATTATTTTTATTACAAGTATATGTGCTATGTTATCATTAAAGATCTGTTAATTAGCATAAATATGTAATAAATAGACGTGTATATTTCTGCGTGGGAGCTCCCGGGTTAGCTTTGCGCCCAGCGCCCCCTGCAACTCGACCGTGAACTATGAGCTGCCCGCAAATATTTATGTAGCAATTCACAAAATTAATATTTGTTTAAACACGCTGATTATATCGCTACAAGTTGTATAAGGAGCGTATAGATGTTTAAATACAATGATTACATAAATACTAAGTAAAAAAAATGCAGCTAACCTCAAATTTACGCGCGTTTGTGTAATAACCGCGAAATTTCGGTGGACTCAACAGAAAGGGGAAGAATTTTGCGCATGATTTCGCAACGTTTTCATATTAAAATCTATACAGATCTGATGGGAGATTAAATTTTATTGAATGGTGGTGTTTTTACAGCGATTCATTGTGTGTGCAGATTAGTGCTATCTAAGAGGATAATGCACCTGACACGGATCTATTGTTGCCAGGTAAACGCATTGTGCGGTCTGTGCCGTCTGTACGGTGTTGCTATGTTTGCGTAGGACGGATTTTGCGAATTCATGTTGGCGTTTGACATTTTTGTTATATTTCTATGCTTTTATAAAATTCGGTTGGTGATAAGAATTATTTTGTACCAACATCTGGTACCTAAGTTTTTACTAGCTATTGCAATTTATACAAAACATACTATTCAGCCAAATCTATACTAATATTACAAATATTTGTATTTTTGTATGGATTGAAATAATTCAAAAAGCACTGCGCCGATTTTAAAAATAAAGTAATTGATCTATGAGTAACTTAGGCTATATTTTTTAATTTCAAGCGGACGAAGTCGCGAGCAACAGCTAGTACTATTATAGAAGCTTTTGACACTTCGACCTTTGTCTTAACGAAGGCACATTACAGAACGTCACTTGTTTTAGTCTGTATGCAAAGATGAATCGACGAAAATTTTAATACTGAGAAAAAAAAATAAGTTAATAAACAAAAAACAATATTTACTCATCTTACAATTTATTTAAATAAAAACTAAAATATTTCCAATGTCAATGGTCTCTTTTTATTATATCCTCATCACAGAATTGGAGGGAATTCGGTTTGAC